TTTCCAAAGGTTATAACTTAGCATCATGTCACGTAACAAGTCCCTGTGTTCATGTTTAATGTGATATTTGGGTGCTCGATTCCTATCCCTTTGTGTTGGTGTCTGTTCATGTACAGCAAGAGACTGTATTGAGGAGCAGCAGAGAACAGAACCAGTCCTTTTAGTGCATGGGGTATCTGACTTACAGAGGTTAAGCTGAGACTCAATCTTAGTGGTGTTGAAGTGATAGTCTGGAGTTACTGTGCAGTTCTCTGCATATTTTGGGGGGGGGGGAAGTGTGGTTTAAGGTATTTCTGCACTGCCCAAACATTCCTGCTCCTGCAAGGACCACTCTATTACTCCATTTCAGCACAGTTTCAAACCCAACTCATCCAATTTGGGTGTCTTTGGATTTGGGTGTTTTGTTTGAATTCTCTTTGGATTTTGGGTGTTCGTGGTCTGGGGAGGATCAGTTCTCTGACCACATTTACCCCGTAGCCCTGCAGAGGGTTGAGTTGGGGTCACTAACAGGCAATGGGAGAGCAGCAATGAGCTGCTGGGATTGGAGCCAGGAGCTCCTTTTGCTGACACACACCACAGGAAAAACATCTGCAGAGTTTGATTCAGAGTTACGAACCCAAATAGCGCAGGGAAGAGAGAGGTTGAATATGGGGTTTAGTCCAGTCCCTGGAGGAGTGGAGGGAATGTTCCAGTTGGTATTTGGACACTGATGACTGTTTTGAGGAAGACAAGACGGGGAGATGCGCTTGTGCTCGTAGCACAGCACTGCAGAAATACTGGTGTAAAACCTGGTTGTATTTGTGTAGAACAGCTTGGTTTATTTCAGAAATAGCATTCTAGAAGTGCTGAGGAGAATGTTTCTGCTGGTAAAACAGGTATGATGAATATACCATGGAATCCCAGCTTGGTTTGTGTTGAAGGGACCCTAAAGCTCATCCAGTTCCATGGGCAGGGACCCCTTCCACTGGAGCAGCTTGCTCCAAGCCCCTGTGTCCAACCTGGCCTTGAACACTGCCAGGGATGGGGCAGCCACAGCTTCTCTGGGCACCCTGTGCCAGCGCCTCAGCACCCTCACAGGGAAGAGCTTTAAGTCCTTCAAGCAGCATTTAATGATCATTACATGTGGTGGTTGAATATCTCTCTTTGCCTGATACTTTTCCTGGGTTGTGAAACTGGAGCTTATTTTGAATGCTGAGCACGTTTATGCTATCCACGTGTAGACTGCTATGTTTGTAAACCAGCGCTGATCAAACCCAATACAGCTCCTGGCATTGCTTCTGTGTGTAAACATGACAGCGTGGGAGAGCACTGCGTTTGCTTAACAGGGAGTTGTGAAACACTTCAGAAGGATTTCTATTAGAAAGGAAGGGGGTATCTGCAAGGATATATTTAGCAGCTGCTGAGGGGTTGTCATTTCCTACCAGCTCGAGTGCTCCTTTTTCTCTTTTTATTCCCAAGAAATAAACACTAAGAAATGAAAGCTTTTTGTTCTTTTTTTTACCTGCAAGTTTAAAACTTCATTGTCTGTCACACAGGAGGAGATGAAGCCAAATCTTACACCAGAAACATCAGCCTTGAGGTGACAGCTGAAACCCACTCTCAGGCAGAGCTCTATAGGTACTTGACACAAATAGGCAGAACCACCTCAGCAGATGAAGTCTTTGATTTCACCTGAGTTTTTTTCCTGATGAGTTCAGCTCAGGTCATGGTTTAGCAGTGTCCTTGAATGAAAAGCAGAGTTTGAAGTGGCTCCCACCTTCCCTTGGGACTGAATTGTTGTGTCCCCCCCCCCACGCTCTCCTCCACTTGTTCCGGTGCAAATGTCTGTGCAGTCATGTAGTGATCCGGAGTGGGAACTGCTTGGGGTTTAAATATAACCTTTTCTTAATAAACCAGTTTATTTATAACATAGTAGTTCCTGTCTTGAGTTCACCTCGCAACGACACACGTAGTCATGGTCCAGCTGAGGGAGTAGCAGGGGAGGATGCAGGAATGAACACTTGAAGTGGGAGTAGTGATGCTCATAGATGATGCTCATAGAATCCCAGAATGGTTTGTGTTGGAAGGGACCTTAAAGCTCATCCAGTTCCAAGCCCTGCCATGGGCAGGGACACCTTCCACTAGAGGAGTTTGCTCCAAACCCCTTGTCCTGTCCCTACAGGCCTTTATCCAAAGCCCCACATAGAAATTTATGTAAAGAAACACATCAACCTGTGCTGTGGGGTTTGATGTGGTTTCTTCCTACATGTGTTAAACTGAACAGCAGGACTTGCCAGCCCTGCTTCATGTTTGGCTGTGGGAGGGAAAGTATTTGGTGGACTTAACTGAGGGTTCTACTGTTTATAACTGTCAAGTATATTTTATACATAAGAGGAGGATAGAAGATTATCTGGCATTTCTTTAATTAGCTCCAGAGAGTTGTGGGATCTTGCTGTCACCCCAAGCTTTGGCAAGTGTCCACAAATGCAGGCAGATGGAGGCAGTGGCTGGTTTAGTCAATGGTGCTGCCGATGTTGGGGTGAGAGGATGCTGGTGGAGCTGTGGGATGGTGATGGTCGTTCTCCTGAAGCCCCTCAAGGCTTAAATTGTGCAGCCCCTGACACCAGAGGGATGTGGAGCTGTTGGAGAGAGGCCAGAGGAAGCCATGGAGATGCTGCGAGGGCTGGAGCAGCTCTGCTCTGGAGCTGGGCTGGGTCAGCCTGGAGAAGAGAAGGCTCCTGAAGGGGAGAGCTTAGAGCAGCTCCAGTGCCTGAAGGGGCTGCAGGAAACCTGGAGAGGGGCTTTGGACAAGGGCCTGTAGAGATGGGCCAAGGGGAGATGGAGAGGAGCTCTCAGGCAGAAGCTCTTCCCTGTGAGGGTGCTGAGGCGCTGGCACAGGGTGCCCAGAGAAGCTGTGGCTGCCCCATCCCTGGCAGTGTTCAAGGCCAGGTTGGACACAGGGGCTTGGAGCAAGCTGCTCCAGTGGAAGGGGTCCCTGCCTGTGACAGGGGTTGGAGCTGGATGAGCTTTAAGGTCCCTTCCACCCCAAACCACTCCGGGATTCTTTGATTCCAATCAGGTTTCCTATATTCCTTTTACATTAGGCTTTCACGGGTATATAAGAACTTTACTGGTTTAACATGGCTTTTGGAGTTGTGTGGAAAAGCTGTTGCCAACATTGTAAAAAATCAGCCTTGTGTTTTATTTGAAACTAAAGGAAAATAGTAAAACACTGAAGCCAAGAAGCCAACAAAGCTTCCCTAAAGCTGCTGTGTTTGGGAAAGTCAGCTGCTGTAATAGAATAACTGCACAATAATTCTTTGCTAAAGAGACTAATGAGCTCAGTGCAGCCCTAATCCCTGCTCGGCTCCCTGCTCCAAGCAGGATTCCCTGCAAGCAGGGCTGGTCACTGGGACTGTCTCAGCAGGGTGAGGAATGAGCTGGGCAGGGCTCGCATGGAGCTCGGGGGCCTCCACGTGAGCCCTCACTTGAGGAACGGTGAAAGAGCAGCTCATTTACTATGGGTTTACGTCGGGCTGCAGCGCTGTAGTAAACAGTTTGGATTAGTGGGAAGTGATGGGAGCTTTTGATTCATAGGCTTCTTCCCTAAATCTCGGTAAAGGAAGTCGTGTGCTGGAGAGGAGCGCAAAGTGGTTTTGGAGGCACCGAGAAGGGGAACTTGTGAGTTTTGGGCTTTTGGTGCACTGTGAGGATGTCAGTACTTATGTGACTAAGTGGGTATTTATTTGGCCTTAATGTGTGTTTGATTAGGTTCCATCAGCTGTAAAGACTGGAAGCTCTAAAGCCTCTATTTCACTGCCTGTCACTGCTCTTGGCTTCTGAGGAGCATTTACTGTCTTGTTGTGGTTTGCAATTAATCTGCGTGCCTTTTAACAATTAGCGTTTATGTGCAGCAGGCAGCAACGGGTCTGGCAGCTGTCAGTCAGCATCTGGAGCTGGCAGGGGAGGAGTCCAGGAGGAAACACAAGGTGATTTACTGCCTCCTGCTCCTTTGGCAGCACCGCGCTGGTGACAGACACCCTTCCTGGCCCGAGCTCTTTGCAGGGATTTGCCACGGAGCAGAGCTATTGGCACGCCTGTGATGGATAAAGCTGTTCCGTTGCCACTCCAACGGGTTAGAATTGACTTTCTCTGCCACCTTCTGTAAGGTTTTTGAAGTCTCCTCGTTTCCCTTTATGCGGAAGCATTAGTTTTTAAACCAGACTTCATTATCATCTAGAAAAATGTGTTTTATATAGCTGTCAGCCGCTCGCTCAGTAACAAGGGGATGACAAAATATGTAAGAAGTCAAAACAATTGAATCCCTCTGCTTAGCTGATACATACGAAAACTGGTGATGGGAGATTAAGGAAGCAAGACATGGAGGAGGGGAAATGGTTTGCTTTAAAGAGAAAACATCTCTGATAGCTCACATAGTTGCTGCTGCTGTGCTTGCTGGGGTATTCCATCTCCAGGGTGTAGGAGGAATCGGCTAATGATTGCCTTTTCCTTACTGTTTGCTTTGAGGCTTTTTGGTACAGCTTTGTGGAGTGGGTCTTTAAAGCAACGTGGAGAGGGGCCTCTGGACAAGGGCCTGTAGGGACAGGCCAAGGGGAACGGCTTTAACCTGCCAGAGGGGAGACTGAGCTGAGCTCTTTGGCAGAAGCTCTTCCCTGTGAGGGTGCTGAGGCGCTGGCACAGGGTGCCCAGAGAAGCTGTGGCTGCCCCATCGCTGGCAGTGCTCAAGGCCAGGTTGGACACAGGGGCTTGGAGCTGGAGGAGCTTTAAGGTCCCTTCCAACCCAAACCAGGCTGTGGTTCTGTGATTTAACACGTGAATGTAATTCCGACACTAGCAGATAATCCTGAAATCATCATTTCAAGTAAATAGTGAAGCTTTCCTGCAGTTACTGCTCATGGGGAGGTCGTGCACCTCCCTCTGCCCTTCCTTCCTGGCGCTGAAGTTGCGGTGTTCCACTCGGGAATCCTCTTCCCTCTCTGACAGCCTCTGTCTCCCCGCAGGTGCTGAGGTGCCGGTGCCGGAGCCCAGCAGCTCTGACAGCAGAGTGGAGGAAGCGCTCCTCACCGGGGAGGGCACGTACATCCCGCAGCCGCTGACGCCGGAGAAGGAGGATGTGCTCCAGGCTGCCACCGTGGCCAACCTGCGCGCGGCTCTCATGAGCAAGAACAGCTTGCTGTCCCTGAAAGCCGACATGCTGGGAGAGGACAGCTCTCTGCTCTTCGAGTACCTGCCCAAAGGCACCCACTCCCTCTCCCGTAAGTTTGTGTTTCTCTCCTTTTTTGCTTATTGACGCTTCAAGCGAGGCGGTTTGTGAGAGGAAAACACGGGCCATTGGCTTGTGTGTTACAGTTCATCTGTTTAGATCCAGTTTTGTGTCCTGCTCAATCCCGCTTTCCATAAAATGAAAGCTGGGTCTGGTGTTGATCCAGCTTCAATGTTAACTCCTGATGCCATGGGAGAAAGTATTTAGCGTGTATGCGTGTAGCATCCTCAGATCTCTGGTTTACTCATTTGCACAATGGGACTTACAAAGGAAACACAAAGTATTTGAGTCCTTATGGTAGAAGAAGGAGCTCCAAAGGGTTTGAATGCAAACTGGCTGATTGCTGACATCTTGCCTGTTGCTCCTGGGTCTGTGGAAACAGTTGTGGGGTTGTACATCGAAGGATCTTCACTTCTTCATGGTTAGTTTTAGACCTCTCTCTGAGGAGCAGCTATTGATTGTGTTGTTATACTTGCAGATGGAAATGGATGAGTTTTCTCCTGGTGACGTGCTGGAGACAGCTGATGTGTGTGTTAGGTGTGGGCAGCTGATTTTTCAGCATACTTTTGTATTCATTACAATCAAAGTAGAAAGAAAAAACTATTAATGCTGTATTTTAATCATGCTCTGAGAAGATGGGGCATAAAATAGAGCAGGCAGTGGCTCTCGGAGTACTGCATCTGAGGTTCCATCAGAAAAGGTCTATTTTAATCTACACTGAGAAAATTAAGCCATTAAATAGATTGAAAAGCTCACTTATTTTGCTTTTACTCTCCACTGTGGCAAAAGATAGATAACTTTTAATGGTTGTAGGATCATAGAATGAATCCCAGACTGGTTGGGTTGGAAGGGGCCTTAAAGCCCATCCAGTTCCAGCCCCTGCCACGGGCAGGGACACCTTCCACTAGAGCAGCTTGCTCCAAGCCCTGTCCAAGTGGTCAGCTGGTGGCTTGAGCTGTGTGATAAAGGAAAATAACTGCACCAGGTAATGTCAGTCTTAGTATCTCTTTACACTTCTCAGTCTGAACAGTAAAACTATTTTAGTTGATCTTTCTAAGTTTAGAGAGAAAAGGTAGAGTTGTTGTGCCTTATTCTGCAGCCAAAGTGCTGCAGTGTTCATCTTCCTTCCACAGTAGTTTTCTCACTGGGTGATCTCCAATTAAATCAGATTGAGATGGTTCAAACGAGGCTCCTGGGATGAAAATCCCTTTGTTGCAGTGCAGCAGCAAAGACCCTGTAGAGCAGTTCAGCCTCTGGCTTGTGTGCAGTGGGAAGAGTGCCCTCAGCTGGCACCGGGACAGGGGGAGCTCGGGAGGGTGATTTATGCATCGTGGGTTCAGCGCTGTCTTGTGACAGGTGAGATCAGTGCTGTCATCTCTGTCATGATAAATGTTGATAACAACAGGGCTGTCTCTATCCATCATCCTTCCTTCACTTACTTAGAAGCTGAAGCCCCACTTGACATAAAGACAAATGAGTGAAAGACAGTCAGATTTGGGCTGGAAATTAGAGATTGCCCAACCAGAGAAATGGAGTTTGGAAACAGGCGTGGTGATGGCAGGAGACCAGCAGGGTTTAAGATAAAGCTTGGTACCTTTAGAAAAGGAGGTGAATGATAGATCATTGGTGGGTGCAGTGACTCAGGAGGTCCTTCCAGCCTGTGTCTGAGGTCCCTGTGTTCCTGTCCTCTTACTATGACTTCAGCTTCATCAGCTCAGCTCCTGTGATCTCATCTTTATAGGAGCAAAGTGAATTGCATGAGGCAAACACAAGACAGGTCACTTGGTGTAGCTCTCACACCAGAGCATGGATGGGGCTGGCGCTTGGTACAAGGATTTTTACAGGAGGATAGAGTTAAGGGACATACTTTGCATTCATCTTGTTCAAACCCAGTTATCAATTCATTTTAACCGCTTATAAAAGACCTTCTGCTGTAAGACTCGCTTTTAAGTGGTCAGTATGAATACAATAGGACATCAAGTTTAATGAGAATCCTCAGTGTATAAAGGGACAGTAAAGTGAGGGGTAAGAAGGTTCCGGAGATCTAAAAGCCCAGTCTGGGTTGGTGCTAGCTTTGTAGGTGTTTTTCACATTCTACTTCAAACACAATTTGAGGATGTTGAGTCATTTTAAGTCCTGGGTTATATTTAAGGAGAAAAAGGTGGGGGGAGTAGGCAGGAGCACAGGGCAAGGAAAAGGTTTTATTGCTTTTCAAATCCAGTGCAGCACAGTTTTCATCTGTCACATTGGTAAAGGAAACACTCATTACAGGAATTCGAAGTGATCAATCTCTTTCGAGTTGAAAACTGGTTTTAACCTTAACTGCTGTCACTGGAGTGTCCTTGTGTGTGCTTGTGAGGCACTACAGTAACTGACTCAAGGAGCAGCGCTTGGGTTTATTTGTCTTCTCTGGAGGAAACACTTACTGGAAGTGGACAGAGCTGAAGAGTGTATTTATTACCCATGGTAGAAGTGGGATGAGCTGTGTCTAAAGGGGATCTCACTCTCCAGGTCACTGCATGTGTTAAGAGTTTTCATTTTTCCTTCTGCATAGTTCACACTGCTGGAGGAGTTAAAAGAGGAAACCCCAAAGTTTTCCCTTTACCCTGTGTGCTTCTTTCCTAATTCACTGTATGTTGTTACGATCATTTGAGGTGTGAAATTACTTAACATTCTCCTGATGGAAAACAAAGCCCGGGGTGTGTGAGGGCTGATGTATCACTGTGATGGAGTCAAATGTAAGTGCAGCATTTCTAAAGGAAACCAGTTCAAATTCATTTAAAATCTGGAGGGAAGATTTAAGTAGCTTGCTATTTGGGTAACATAGTCATAGACAACCTGCAGCTCTGAGAATTCTGGTGTTCACGGTGTATGATCAAGACTGATGTTGTTCATGTGCTTGGTGGAAACCTAAAGAACATGTGGGGTTTGCAGCCAAAAAGACCACATAAGTTACTCATGGGTAACACTGAGGTTGTCTTGGGAGCCATTCATTACTGAACCTGCCCAGTTTGCTGTGGGGATCTTTCAGATAAGCCAGTCTAAGAGGTTCAGTTTTCATGCTCTGTCTGTAAAAGCAGGTTATCCCATGCTGGTTTCCAGCTCCTCCTCCTGAGCTGCTTGGCTTCATAACGCGTGTCTTACTTCACTTGTGGTACTGAACTTTGGTAGCATTGTTCCGGATGGTTACACCACAGCTACTAAAGTCTCAAAGGCTTTAGTTGACTCTTTTTAGCTGCTTTTGCCAAGTATAATCAAGAGAATGAGACTTTGAATATTCATTAGCAACCGAGCTGGTCAGTCCATGTCCTTGTTCTCCTTTGGGGGTGCTGGGCTCCCCTGAAGGGCGACTCTCCCATGTTTCCAGAATAGCACATTGCCTGCTTTTTTCTATGTCTAAGTTTGGCTTTTCCTGTTTACCCTCTTGCAACTGCAACTGTTTATAGAAGCAATTCCTATGAAGCTCGCTGGCCAAGTGATTCCATGGTGCACAGAGCCCTTTTCTTTGGGCAAACCGGCTAATATGTTATTTTTAGGCAGTGGTTCATTGAAGCCAACCACTTCCACTGGTGCTGGCTGTTGAAGGAATACACTTTAACCAGCGGTCAACAGCCCCAGGAGGAAGTTGAAGGGGTTCAGTCTGACGTGGAAGTTCTGTACGTGGTACGTGAAGCTTTATGGGAGAATGGATGAGATTTAAGCACTATAATAACCTTTGTTGTTCTCTTTCCCTCAGTTTCCTCTCCAGATAATACCATGTTCATAGGAATGTTGTTAAACCAAGGCATCGTCTCTATGCAGAGCTGACTGATTTCTGATTGAGAAGTTAAAACACTTGTCACTAAAATCCATTTCAATACCAATTTAGGAGGGGAGGAAGGTTTCTCCCAGTATTAGAATGGGACAGAGCATGAATCCAGGTGCTGTTTGCCTTCTCATGTGCAACATGTGGGTCATTTATGTGGGTTTTTCCTCTTGTGTTACCTGCAGTTGTTGAAACCAAATAAATCTGAACTGTTGGTTTAAAACTCAGCTTTGTGCTTTGTTGTGTTGTACATCGTGGTGGCTCATGGTGGGTGATGGAGTTTATTGTTCCTCCTTTAGCTTTCACATGTGTGTAGTTTCCTAGGAACCTGTATAAATCCATGAAGGTGCTAATACAGAATTAGTCCAGCCAGACCCCACTGGCTTCTCTTTACTGTGTGCTAAAGCACCCTTTGTTTGATGATGTGCAACCCAGAGATGCCTCTGAGTTCTCTGTACTCTCAAGTGTGTAGCTTCAGTGTAAACAGGGAGGTTGGAATCAGTTTGGGATGTTGGGGGGAAAACGCAGGGATATCACAGTGGATGTCTAGGCAGGAATTCTGCTGTGGACCTGGAGTCACAGTTTCTAATGGGAATTACTGATGAATTCATGGTTTTCCTGTCTGGAATTTATGGGGGTTTAGTGTTTTGTTGTCCTGCCTTTAAATTGCAAGAGCCCCAAGTGAGCAGCACCAGCACGAAAACGTGAAGTATTGTTCCCTTGAACAGCGTTAACCCCCTTGTGTGAGATCTCCATCTGTGATCAAAGCAGAGGAAGGTACAGCAAACATCCAGCCTGTGGCACGAGGGCAGAGTTTCCTCTGATACAGAGTTGGGTTTGGGATCGCTGGCGTTCAGAAACCTTTGTTGTGCCCCAGATCACAGCGTGTTGTACTTGGCCCTAGAATAAACTTGGACTTGTTGTTTGTAGCTGCATTAAAGTGTGGGGTCTCAATCAGGCTCCTTTGTGTGAGAAATAAAACAGCCTTTAGGGCATCGAGTGCTTTAAATAGGCATTTATTTCCTTTGATGCCATATTTGCTCCTCAGTTTGCCTGCTTGCCTTTCGGGAGTAATGACCCTGTTCACTATGTGGTTCCAGCGTTCAGTCAAGGGGGCTGTTAAAGTTTGTTTCACAGCCTGTAACGTCTGCTGCTCTCGATTACGTGCTCCTCACTCGTATTTAGATGTGTTGTGCATTAGCAGGGCAGTGTGTGGAGCAGCATTTACCATTTGACCAGTGCTACAGATTGACTGTTGCAGCTTCTGTTTCAGACAGACAAATGATGTTTTCCTTTTTAATCTATGGTAGGTTTTTGGTATCTTACTGCCTCTAGGGTATCATTGAATAGTTTTGTACGAGTATCTGCCCGTCCATGCTCGGTCACCAGAGAATGAAAGCAATTCTTTTGTAAAGCACTTTGAGATCAAGGATTGACAGTATATAATAAATACACCGCGGTCAGATCTGGAGATCTGGAGCTTTGCCATCAAGTTTCAAGCAAGTCAGTAGCAGAATCCAGTCTCTGTGTATGTTACTTAAATGGGTTTGAAATGGTGCTCCTCCCAGAGGTGTCTTTCAGCAGTGTGACTGCTCTGGCTGTTTGTGCTGCTGTCTCCCGATGGACTCCCTTAGTGACGGTGCCACACGGTGTGACACCACCACCGACACCAGGCATTAGGGTGGGGAGGCTGGTTTGAACACAGCAAACACACCAAAGCCTCCGGCATCAGTGTCCTGCTGCATCCCCTGCTCCCGCTGATGGAAGATAACCCTGCGAGCGCTGCCTTTGGAGGCCTGGTGTAAAGCCACCAGCTGGTGCTGGTGCACGTGGGTGAGATTCGTTTCCTGTGTTCCCCAGGGCCTGGCACCAACTTGAATCATCCAAGGGGCGAAAGTGATGGCAAAGTGGAAGCACCATCTCCCCCGCTGCCTTCATCACACCTTGCCACTCAGAGCCCCCCCGAGGCCTGCTCCTCTGGTGGCATGTCACCAGAAACCATGGCAAAAGGAGAGGTGCCTTCCTCCACCCAGGTAAGATTGGGGGGGTGTGTGTGTGTGGGGGGGAAATGCCAACAGATTGAAGTGCAAAGGTATCTGTTTCATCAAATTCTGCCTGGTTTGGGGTGTCCTGGTTTCGGGACATAGGAGTGCTTTGAGAAACCTCCTGTCTCATACTTTGATCTGTTAGCTTTGTTTTGGTTTTAAATACAGGGTATTTTAAACCTAGGAAGTCCACTGAGGTCAAGGCTGGTGCTGTCCTAATTTTAGCCTTTGTGCCTTTCCTCAGCAGAACTTGCATTCACAAAACTATGGTTTTGAAGGATACATGCCCCTTTTATTGTCAGTCCTTCTGTTTGCAAAACGTAGCATGCAAGAACATAATAATGGCATAAAAACAGCTGAGACCACAGCTATCCACTGCCCACCTCTTGTGTTCTGCGTTTAGATTTCTTCTAGCTACCTAAATTGGGATAGAAGCAGGTTGGCTGCTGTATTACACTCTGACATCAAATTCATGTCTTTCTATGGCATTTCTTAGTCTTTGTGTTTTGGAATGATGCTTTAATTCCAGTAAAGAAACGGATGGAAACCCAGATTTTCCTTTGCAGTCATCCCGGAGCAAAGGGAGCTGCTCACAGCGACCACTTGCCCATCCCCAGCAGACCTGCCCAGGCTGCATCACGCCTCTGCCCCATAGAGAGCTGCCATCTGCCACACGCTGGCACACTGCAAATGCTGCATGAAACCTAAACATCACCTTTTATTGAGCTTTTGGAGCAGCAGTGCCAGAAAGCACCGCATAAAGGGAGTTCTGCAGAAGGTGTTTGTTTTCTATGGGGACAGAAGAAGTAGCTGTGTAGGGCTAAGGGAAAACTTCCCAGTTCTGTTGTGTCTGCTAGAGATTTTCTGTTGTTGGCCACAGTGGGAGCTATGGATGCTTGATGAGGCTGGGAACTGAGTAGTTACCCAGGACCCAAAAGGGCATGTTGATTACTCGCCTCAAAACACCAAATCTTGCAAAATACAGCCCATTAACTTGGCTGCTTTGAGAGTGAGAGCCTCATAAAGGCAGATTGGTGGCCAGGAGAAGGGATGAGCCTCCCTTGAGGAAGGGGTGAAGGCAGAGGTAAGATGGGGCTCTGAGCACCGACGCAGAGACGTGTTCTTGTAAATGCTTGCCTTAACTCCAGGATGCTTTCCATTTGCAGGCCGCTTACGATGGACTTTTAGCACTTTGGCAGTTTGATAACTCTGATTCAGGTAAGCAGAGAGAAAAACGTGTTTTAAACCTGCCACTGTTTTACACCAGAGGACACTGATCTCTTCGTGTGTCTCTTGTTTCTGTTGTAGATACGAGCTTCTCCAGATCCGAAGACATGGATGGAACCACTGATGGCCTCTGCCAGGATTCCAGCCTCGCCAAGAGGCTGACCTGTGGTTTCTGCAGGAGGGTTTTCCAGCATGCTGAAGAGCTGAAGGAGCACATCCATGAACATGCCTTCTCCATGCTTTTCCCATTGGACTTGGTTGACTGTCCCCGGCCGGGCCTCACTGACAGAGTGCTTCCCAATCCGCTCTCCCGCTTCCAGTGCTCCCAGTGCCCTGCCACCTTCACTCTGAAATCCAACATGGATCGGCACGAGAAGTCCATCCACTTCCATTGTAAGAAGATGCAGTGTCCTAACTGTGCCAAGCTGTTTCGAGACAAGACAGACTGAAACAGGCACCTTATGCCTCTGCACTCGGGTGCTTGTGTCTGTCTCTCCTGTGGCCAGGGCTTTGGTACACAGAAGAGCCTCAGTAGCCACATGAAAGTGTTACCCAGGCTCTGCCCTGCTGCATGGGCTCAGGCTTTGGGGCAGTGTAGGACAAACTGAGGATCCTGAGGACACGTAGCTACTATTGTGTGTGTGAGACACTTAAACTAGGAAAAGCAACTTGATCCATTGTTCTGCTGCAAATAAACCTACCACAGGTGTCATATTAGAGAGTAACTCCCCAAAGCTGAGTAGGGGATAACAGGCTGGGTCCAGGCCCTGTGTGACTGCAGCCACGGTGTGATTTGTGTGCAAAGATGACTCGGGTCAGCCCATGTAATGGGCACTTTGGCTCTTTTACTGGTGTGATCGTACTGTGTGCTTGCTTATATGACCTCAAACTTCTCGTGAGTAGATCTCAAAGTGCTTTATAAAAGAAATGGTGATGTTTTCCTTGTATTCCCTGGGAAAATAACATACCTCAGCTTGTTAGCAGTAGACTTAACAATAGAATTCAGTCTGCTGAGTTCTGGTCTAGTGCTGTGTGCATTAGACAAGCCAGACAGCTGATCTGGAGATGGGGAGCTGTGGCAGTGCTGGGGTGCTCAGCCTTCTAAGCTCTGTAGAAAGTCTGGGTTTCTGTGCATTGAACAGGGAAAACCACGCTGCCTGTTCACATGTGCAACAGGGGACATGATTTGGGCTTGAGGACTGTCTCAAGGCTTGTGTATTTATTGGTACTATCTCTCCTAAGAGATACACTGGCGTGTGGCTGTGGTTTCTGTCATGTAAGTTAGCCAGACTGCGATGTTGAAACTGAGAAGAGGCTTTACACAGCAGATCTAATGTAACTTAGGGTGTGCATACAAAATCAGTCGCCAGAGGGTACTCTTACTGTAATGCCTTTTTTATTACATGAAAATCAGATATTTTTATAAAAGATAAACCATTTCTGTATCTCTTGCTATATATTGGCATGCAAACCGGGATTATAGTAACTGTGAAAGTAGTGTAATGAAGTGTGGTGCTTCCCAACTGCTCCGAGTACAGCACTGCCTGTCAGCAGCTTGAGCTTCAGCATTGTAGGATTGATTCCTTAACATGGGAGAGGGCAAGAGGATGAAAGCAGCTTCTCCACGTGAGCTTTGGAGGTGTTCAGGAAGGTTCTTGCTCCTGATGTCGCTGCATCTCAGGGAGACCAGAACGAGCAACACTTGCTTGTGCACAAGGTGGACTTGAGAGTTTCTTGCCAAGCTGTTTCCTATAGAGAGATCCTGGATCCTGCTGCCCTTGTGCTTGTGGAGAGTGAACAGGTCTGGTGTGGCTCTGCCCTGCCCATTCCTGCTGGGAGCCAGAGCTCTGGGAGACATCTCCGTGCCACATCAGGGCCTGTGGGTTGGGAAGCTGGAGTTTCCTCGCTTGGCTTAGTTCTTATTCCCTCCTCTAAAGCACTTTCCCCTCACAATCTCAGGATCTGGTTACGGTTGGGATGTCCATGCCAGTTTTTTCCAGCATGTCGTGGTTAAACCTGGCATGTGGAGCCGCTTGTCCCACTCGCTGTGGTCCACGCTGTGTTGGTAGTGTTGAGTAGCACCGGCATGGCCTGGGGCTGCAGGAGGGAGGTCACACATCCCCTCGTGACTCCCCTCCATCAGTTTACAGCTTCCTTACCTTGTCTAGACTCTGCAGGAAGAGGTTTATAGAGATCCTGGGGACTGTGTTTGTGTGGCCTGTCCCTAATATCTGTGATAGACGAGACTGGAAACGTGTTTCTCATGTATAGCTTTGCATTGTAGAACTGAAGAAAGTGGGCTCCTTGCCTCTGGTTGTATAGACAAGGGGGTGTCAAATCCAGAGGAGAAGATAAAGCAACAGATTCTTTTCCTATAATATAAAAGAGGAAGAGTAAACCAGTGAGTAAATCTTGTACATAAGGCTATAGGTGTGAGTGGGGATGGGGAGGTATCTGCCAGAGCTTCCTCTGGGCATCAGGCCCCATTAAAGTACCTCCTTTGGGAGGTTCCTAAAGCAATGCAAGTGCAGAGCCGCTTGAAACCAGCCCTTCAGGAGTCTGCCTGATCACAGTGGGTGATCTTTACTGACAGGGAATAAGCTATTGCTTAGTGCTTTCCTTGGTGCCAGTATTGCAGCCCTGGCCCAGGTGCTTGCATTGATTTTTAGTAGTATTTTCCCTGGCAAATGAGACCCTTGGGCTGTCTGTACCATCTGCATCCCCTGGGGCCACTTTCAGCAGCTCCTATGGAGATGGCATGAAGGAAAGACTCAACTGTGTCAGGAAGGCTTCGAGGTCTACCCCTTTTCTAGCTCAGCAAAGCACAAGTGAAGGGGGGCAGAACAAGGTCCATCAAGCATGATGGAAGTTGGATGGGGCTTGGAGCAAGCTGCTCTAGTGGAAGGCATCCCTGCCCCTGGCAGGGGGTTGGAATGAGCTTTAAGGGGTGTTATGTTTGTGGTCTGCTGCTCCCAGCTATCTGCTACCTCCACAAATAAGTGTTAGAGGTTTAGATCTCAATACTTAAGATAATTCATTATAATAAGAATCACAGAGTTACTTGGCATTGTTACTTAGCATTTAGCAAGCGCTGGGCAACGTGCATTACAGACTGTTGCTGAATGTTTGTGTGTTGATGCGTTCAGGAGCGTGTCTGATGACAATACTTGAAGTTCTTTAATAGAAGAAGTGCAATAATATAAGGATTAAAGCCACTGTAGAGGGTTGAGGGGTGAGATTGTGATTTCACAGTGAACCAATTCAGCAGTGAAGTAGTACATCAGACCGACCTTTTGTAATCAGCATCTTCTGCTTTGCTCTCTTGCAGTCAACGAGTTCACAGTCATCAGGAAGAAGTTCAAGTGCCCCTACTGCAGTTTCTCAGCCATGCACCAGTGCATCCTGAAGAGACACATGCGATCCCACACGGGAGAGAGGCCCTATCCCTGCGAGATCTGCGGCAAGAAGTTCACGCGCCGGGAGCACATGAAGCGGCACACGTTGGTAAGAGCCCAGCGCAGCCACTTATCACTTAGAGATAAGATAAAGGATAAGATGAAGATAAAAGGTGAGATAAAGGAGCTTCATGTGAGTGAGGGCTGTATTTCATTTTCCCCTCCGGGGCTCCCCTAAAGGCTTCTGCAGCATCTTTTTTCCCCACCATTTAAAGGCTGTGTTTTGCTGCCAGTTCATCCATAGGGAACCTTCATCTCCTCTCCTGTCACAGTCTAGGAGGCTTTAAAGCACTCAGCAAGAAGAATTCCAGGTAAAGCTACTGTGATCTGGCAGTGCTGAATTGTCACTTTACTAAAGAGAGCTGCTCCAAGCCAGGTAGGCTTGTGCCGCTGGCTGCTTGTCACAGCTCCTTCAGGAACAATGTTTTAAGCCAAACTAAGTATTTCTTAGGTAAGAATTAATTTGCCATCCTAAGGAGCTTGGTATAGAGGTGATACTGTGGAAGAGCAAATAGTTTCTATATAGTTATGTCAGTAATGCACCCCAGCAAGCTCTGGTGCCCCTCTGAGTAAGGTTTTAGGGAAAATCTGGGCTATTTGAAATACTGAGGATGGTGGCTATGAGGTCCTAACGCAGTGAGGTATTAAAAATAGGGTGTTGACAGGTAGTAACTAAGAATTGATTTGTTGAGGTCATTTAAGTAACTTTATCTGTATTTCTGTTATATGTATCATATTTATAGTATCTGATAAAATTTGAGTGTAAAGAATAATGCACTGGAGGAGGTGCTTGGAGTAATTCCTGTTTCCCTGCTTGTAACTCTCAAGAAGCCCCAAAGAACTTTTAGTTCCCTCATCCCAGTCCTGCAGGCATGTGCGTCCCCTTGTGTGCCTTCCTGCAAAGGCAGTTGAACAGCAGTAACACAACTTACAGAACCACAGATGGGTTTGGGTGGGGAGGGACCATAAAGCTCCTCCAACTCCAAGTCCTGCCATGGGCAGGGACCCCTTCCTCTGGAGCAGCTTGCTCCAAGCCCGTGTGTCCAACCTGGCCTTGAACACTGCCAGGGATGGGGCAGCCACAGCTTCTCTGGGTACCCTGTGCCAGCGCCTCAGCACCCTCACAGGGAAGAGCTTCTGCCTAAGAGCTCATCTCAGTCTCCCCTCTGGCAGGTTCAAGCCATTCCCCTTGGCCTGCCCCTACAGGCCCTTGTCCAAAGGCCCCTCTCCATGCAGAGCTTGCCAAGCAGCAGTGCTGCCCATTGCAGTTATCCCCTTCCTTGCGCAGGGGTGGACAAGGGGCTGATGTGCCAAGTTGCCGTGGTGTTATTTCTGAGAACTTTCCCTTTATTCCTTTCCAGTCCTTTAGCATGTTGTCAGCACAATGTGTTCCCCTCTCTCCCTGGGAATATCAGTATTTAGTCAGAATATGGTCTTTCTAATGCCATTGTCAGACACTGAAGGACAAACACCATTCCTGTGTTTAACACTAATTTGGTGATAAGGGAAATAAGAGTAATCTCTGTTCAGCAGCATCCAGGAATATATTCACTTCGAATATGCCAACCAAACTGTCAGGGTTGGAAGAGAGGAGAGAGGTGCTCAGGTTTTTAACAGGTATTTTAATTACATGTCATTTTAGTACCTGTTTTATCATTTCTTTTTTGTACCCATGACCACTTTCTGTAACCCTGTTCAGCTTTTGATGCCTGAAAGTCATTCTTTTGGCAGTTAAAACGAGTGATACCTATAGATCCTGTTGGATGCCTCAGAGCAGCCCTGTTCAGCTGCCTTTAAAAACCTTAGACATAGGGCTTTAAAAAGAAACGAAACACAATGGCTGTGCTTGATGCAGTTGAAGAGCACATCATGGGGACTAGCTCAGGGCACAGAGAGCCTGAGGCCAGAGCACATCACAAGAGCATCCAGGCTTTGAACACGGTTGGGACCAGTGTCATGCAAAGCCTGAGCCAGTGGCCTGTGGTTGTGAGGGCTGAAGGGGGCAAGATGGGTCAGTTTGTCCTCTTCTAAATAGCTTTAGCTCAGCTGGGTGCTGTGGATGAGCACAGGGTTATGCAGAATCCAGTTGTGAGAGCAGGTGATCCCATGTGGAGGCAGGAGCAGGGAACTGGCCTCACCGGGCTGCTGGCTTAGGATGAAAGGAAGGATTTTTCCACGCAAGCTGTGTAGAACCAGGAAAACCTTTCCTATGGGCTGCTGTGAGCATGAAAAGAAGAAATGAGATAAAGAAAGGGTTAGGTACTGGGGATACATGGCCCAGAGGCTCTGGGACTGATGGTGATGCTCAGTGTCCAAAGCACTGGACAGTGTGATACAAGGCGGATCCGTCTTTGTTTCTATACCACTTCCCAAAGCATCTCCTGTGGATCAGGGGTAGGGCAGTTACTGAGGCGAGCTCCTGGGCTGCCCCAGTGTGCTGTTACTATATTAAAAATATAAAGAATATATATGTAAAGAGAAACTATACATGTCTCTAATGTAAGGTATATTGGTCAGCCCTGAAGTAGTCAGACAGTTGGACCAGATGATTGTTGTAGGTCCCTTCCAACTGAGCTATATGTAAGTAAAATGAATCTTTATATGTATTTTATATGTGGTTTATTATATACATATATATAGATATGAAAGTACCTGATGAGACTCCCTGTGTTGGAATTCAGGCATTCTCACTGCACTGCTTGGCTGTTTCCTTAGGGAGAAGGGCATGTGAACATTTTAAGCAAGCTCCTGGCCTTCCGCAAAAGGAAGGCAGCAGTGGATTCCACCTTTGCTGAGGTGGTTTTGTGCTTCTCAAAGTATGAAGTTTTGGTCATTGTGTCGTGGAGTTTGACTCTTGAAGGGATCTCTGGTATCCTGCAGAGATTTTCCCACTTAGCACTGATTCCCTGCGATAGCTCCGTGTGCCTGTGATTCTTGGGCATGGAATGCAGCGTGATTTATGGATCAGAAACATTTGTGACAAGCCATTTTTCAGCCACCAGAGTAGTCAGAAGAGAGGTTAGGAGTGCATTTAGCTGCAGTTTTGGACAGATACAGGATGCATTCCCAGTGCTCCTGCTCTTTGGTTATCGGTAGCAGTGGGATCAGGAGGGAGACCGTGGAGTTAATGTGATGTTGACACGTTTGATTGTGAGCTGCTCTGCTCTGGTCTGCAGAGAACTGGTGCTTGGGGTGGGGTGTACTGGGGGGCTGAGGGACCTGGGGGGGGGGGGGGGGGTAGTTTGGAGAAGAGAAGGCTCAGGGGGGACCTTATTGCTCCCTACAACTGCCTGACAGGAGGATGGAGCCAGGAGGGGCTGGGCTCTGCTCCCAAGGAACAAGGGATGGGACAAGAGGAAACGGCCTCGAGCTGCACCAGGATGGAGCTGAGGAACAATTCCTTCCCCAAAGGGTGCTCAGGGCAGTGCTGGAGTCACCGTTCCTGGAGGTGTTCACACACGGTGGAGCCGAGGCCCTCAGTGCCATGGGTTAGTGGTGGCCTCGGCACCGATGGGCAACGGTTGGATTGGATGAGCTTAAAAGTCTTTTCCGAGCTGGTTTGCTTCCACGCTAACAGTTGTGGTGATTCTCCTTCGCCAGGTCCACAGCAAAGACAAGAAGTACGTATGCAAGGTGTGCAACCGAGTGTTCATGTCCGCGGCCAGCGTGGGGATAAAGCACGGCTCCCGCCGCCACGGCGTCTGTGCCGACTGCTCTGGCCGAGGCATAGCCGCTCACCTGGACCACAACGGGGGAGAAGGCTCTCCAGACGAGTGCTACCCCGGCGAAGGGCAGTACATGGAAGACCCGGACGACATCAAAGTGGAAGGAGACGAGGAGATGGGAGACGACGACGACATCAAGTGGAAGGACGACGTGGGAATGTCGCAGGATGATGTGATTTTAGATGACGACAAGGACGTCGACTCTCCGCAGGAGCAGGACCACTCTGGGGAGAACGACAAGGATTTTACCTGGATTTCTTAGGGATTCCTTTGTTTGTTTGGGGTTTTCTTTTTTGTTCCGCTCTCTTGTTTGTAGGGGGAGGGAGGGTGGGAAGGAAGGAGTGTGTCGGAAAAGAAACTTAAGTAGCCTTGTTGTCGTCCATGTGTGCAAAATAACTCTCGTGTTTTCTAAACCGGTCCTTCTCTGTCCCGCTCTGATACTGTCTTAGCAGGGTCACTCCCAGTGGCACCACTGACTTTGCCTTCCCCCTTCTCCCTCCACCACCAGCCCCGGCCGCAGCCGTCGGGTTGATGAGGTTGAGGGTGCGAGCACTGCGTGATGGGAGCCTGGGTGAAGCACGAGTCCTCCTTCCCTTCCCACCCTGACCCTGTGTGGGGAGAGCTCTGTGTCCAAAGCAGGTTGTTTTCGTGGTGGTTGGGTTTTTGTTTCTTTCCTCTATTCTGTTTAACACCTTGTCTGTGTGCTGAATCCCAGCAGCAGTGGGATTACAAGCTGGTGTTGGGAAAGCAGGTTGATGGATGTGTTGGAGGGCTTCCCTTGGTGATACAGGCCTTTTGGCAAAGGTGTTGGAAGAGAGTTTTAATTGTTTTTTATGGAGCCAAATAGATCAAAAGGCAAGTCAGATTAGAGCCTTACGGAGTCTTCTCTTGGACTCTCAGCTTCCAAAAGAGTCACCATCAAACAGAGGAAGATGATGACGTTTCTTGGACCTACTGGTGTCATGCCCACGTCCTGTCTTCCAGCCTTGGTTATCCACAGGCGCTGCAATGCATGTTGGTGCTCCCAGAAGCACCCTTTGCTGTAAAGGACACAGGTAATTCTCTACCTGTTGTTCTTTCCCTTTGCTCAGCTGCCTTTTCTCAGATATATGCAAACCACAGCAAAAACATTGGGCAAAGTGCAGGAGGAGCTGGGAAAGGCCGAGGTGAGGAGATCCCAGCTGGGTGGAAATCCTGCTGCTCCCATCCTATAGATGTTAATGGGGGCAGGATGTCACCTGGGTACATTGGTCTTCTCCCCCCAGTTCCCATGCATCAGGAGTAGGCAGGACTCCTACTGAGCTTCAGCTGCACTGGTTCTGTGTAAAGTTTCAAATAAACCTAATTTATTTTATCTAAGAGCCAGGTTTCTCTCCCAGCATCTCCAAAGAGACTCTGGGACTGCTCCAGCTGGTTGGATTCTACCTTGTTCATGCCTTCTCCCAGCTCCACCTAACTGACAGCAGCAGTGCACGTTGGAAGTGTCTCGCTCCTGAGCAGAAGCTGGCTTTTACCCTTCACCTCTTTGCTTCTGGTGCTTTTTGAGCTGACGACCTCACTCTTTTCCTTGCCACGGAGCAGTTTTACACCCTGCCTGTGACGGTGGTTCTGGCCCAGAAGACAACCCGTTACCAGAAAGCCAAATGACTTAACGGTGCTATTTTCCCCCCGTGGTGGGACAGGTGATCCCAGTGGGATGGAGAATGTTCTTGCAGGTCTGGTGGTCCGTAGTGAAAAGCCTGGTTCCATCCAGTGATGGAAATACCCAGTGTCTTGTACAGTAAACCCCAGTTAAAGCAAACAGTCTGGAAGGACTGCAGCCACTCGGTGCCAGGATTTGATGGAGTGTGGTGGGAACCTCAATCCTGGCACCTGCAGTAGCTGGTTCTTCATTCACTCCCTGATCTCAGGCACATCCTGGGTTTGTGGCATTTATTCCTCTCTCTGCTCCTCAGTTCCTGGCAGAATTCCCTTTATGGGGAGTCTCCAGCAGCTCCTGAGCTGTTGCTTTGGGTGCCCGCTGGGGATTCCAAAACATGGATCTTCCCTGGAATCCTCTTCGGGCTCCATGAGGCCACGTGAGCACCGTGTGCTGCTGCTGCTGCTGCTCCTTAGGATTGAAGGAGCGAAGTGGGACTTGTTGCTTTTGGGCAGGGAGAAGGGATCACCCTCCTCTTTAAGCACTCACAGAGCGGAAGGGTCACGCTGAAACATCTTTATTAAGCAGTTAACCCCCTCCCATAGCTGAAGGGACATAAACACCCCAGAACGTGACGACTGGACCCCTGGATGCTGCTTTTCCAGCAGCTGGGGGGGTCCCAGAGAGAGGTTGCTGGTTCCTCACCCTGACTTTGGCCTCTCATTGTGTGAGCTCTGTATTTATTGGCGTTTATCCTGTAAATATGGGGGGTCTCGGAGGTCCTGAACTCGCAGCCTTACCTGTAACACGTAGACAAATACATACAGTGCTTCACAGATAGCTGTAGCTTTGCTCTTCCTGCGTGCAAATCTATTTAACCATCCATTTTAACCCCAAACCCATTCAGATTCCCTTGGGTTTCTGTGACATTCCATCTCGGCCATCTCCTCCCACGCTGGTGTGTGGATCTGCTGGCATACCCTCCGAGGAGGAGCAGGAGATGTTGGTCTGAGCCTTCCTCTTCCTCACCCTTGGGTTTTGTCCGCAGAATTCTGGAGCACTTCACTTTGGGATTCCTTTGGAGATACTTCTGTTCTCTTTCCTTTGTGCTATTTGAAGGGTGGGCAGTAAACCAAGTGGCTTGGGAAGTGTTTCCCAGTGGTGCCCCTTGGGAAATGGCATCCTCTTTGAGCTGGCGATGCAAAGAACGTATCAAAATGGAGAGAAAACCAGAAAATCCACTCTAAAAGCTGACTCTGACCGTGTCACCACCATGCTCTGTATGACTAACATCGACTGCATAGACCAACCCAACCCATCTGCCACCCCACGTCTGTCTGAAGCGCTCTGGTTTGATGGAGGTGGCTGCTATGGAAGTGCAGGAATTAGTCTGGAACCGGCCACGCTCCGTTGGGCTCAAACCCAGGGAATTTGGGCTTTTCCCCTTCCTTTTTTTAATGCTGGAACTTTATACGACTTCACCCCTTGTTCCACGTGGCCCCTCTCGGGATCTACTGCCTATGCAAGTGTCTTCTGCCCTTGGAGAAGAGCAGCTCTGCCTGTTGCAGCCAACACTAGCTCCAGTAACCTCTGGCTCTTTGTATTTCCCTTCAGGGCTTTGTATACTTCACGGAGGGTCCCCTTTTTTAGGTTTTTCTAACTATTGATGTGTGTGTATAGGACTTTACAGGTTGGGTTTCAAAAGGAAGGATTCCCCTTTCCGAGTAAAGCAGTTGAAACGCTTTGGGTCTCGATAACTCGCAGCTGAGGGGGTTCTTGATGTATTTGTACCCAGCCTCGATGCTCCTCCCTGGATGTCCTCCCTGGTCCTCGTTTGGTTTCTACTCTGTGAGTACAAGGCGTGTGCCAGCCACCCTTCACCACCCTCTCACACACAACGGGGTGCGAGCGACACCCTCCTGCCCCAGCCCCACCGAAACCCCACAGGGAACGCGCTGAGGGCCATGGGGCTTGGTGGTGGGTGTGCAAGGAGAACAAGTGGAGGGGCTTCTTGTGTTCGTTAGCATGGGATGGTTTGTGTTGAAGGGACCTTAAAGCCGTTCCCCTGGTCCCGTCCCTCCCTTGTAAAGCTCTGTCCATTTTGTTGCCAAATGTTTTCTTTAAAAGTCACAAATAACCCATTTTCGGGTATATTTTAAGGTCACCCCAAAGCCCCGCGGCTGTGGTGGGATGGGTCAGAGCAGGACTGCAGAGTGCCCGTCCCCCTGCCTTCTGTTGCCCTTCTCCCTTGCTTGCCATCGAAACCCTCTGGTTCGGAGCACAGAAGGAATCTTCTCCATGCACAAGGAAACCTCCTCCGGCCTCAGGTCCTGCTTTAGCTCTCCCACCTTTAAATACTCCTCTTTCCCACTGCTAAAGCCACGTCCTGCTGGGGTTTTGGGTTCATGTCCCTTCCCCCTTGAGCAAAGAAACTCCCTAAAACTCCATGCAAAAACTGGAATCCTTTGCAATAGGAGAGAGAATGAAGCCTCATTTGAGCTCCTCTTGGGACACGTCAGCTCCTGCAGAAGCCATACTTCATGGGTCGCTATTCCCTACGTTCTCTCTCGTTTGGAATCCCCCGCAGTCCCGCCTAGTCAAGAGTGCTGTGTGTATGCTCTCAGATAGAGGTATTTATTTTGCAACGTGCTTTAAACCTGTCTAGAAAATAAAGCTAAAAAGAAATGGAGAAAAAAAAACAAAACCACCCCAGGACAGAGTTTGAAGATTGATGATGATTATTAATTATTATTATTATTATTATTATTTTTTGGCTGGGAATATTCTATATTATACTGACTTTATATTAATTATTATCAACCTGTGTTTGTATTGAAGATGTGTTTCATATCCCAGGGAGGTGCAGGAGGAGGGTTTGGGGTATCCAGGAGTTCTGGTGGGAGGCCCTGGCTGTGTTGTTCTGATGCTGTACATGTAGTTCAGGTCAATGCCGACCTTCTTTTCTAGTTGCTCTCCGGGTTGGGCATGCCGGAGCGTTCCTCTGGGCAGGAATTCCTTTTGTGATGGGGTTTAGGTTTAGGCATCCTTGCAAAGATCAATCCGTTTCAATAAATCGGGATAATTGCTGCTACACTTCCCGCGTGGCTTTGGGGTTCATTGCTCGATGGCAGTACCGTTCCTCCTCATTGCGGGGACGGTTGGGGTGATGGTGGTGCGTGCAGGGACAGCAGCCACGATAAGGGATGAGCACCCTGGGGCTGTTTGGGGCTGGGGGTGATGTTCCTTGGCCTGGCCCTTTCCTGTGCCCAGAGCTGTTGGAGCGAGGCCATAGGAGCTGCTGTGAGGGCTGGAGCAGCTCTGCTCTGGAGCTGGCTGGAGAAGAGAAGGCTCCTGAAGGGGAGAGCTTAGAGCAGCTCCAGTGCCTGAAGGGGCTGCAGGAAACCTGGAGAGGGGCTTGGGACAAGGGATGTAGGGACAGGCCAAGGGGAATGGCTTGAACCTGCCCCAGGGGACAGGGCTTGGGAGCAACCTGCTCTAGTGGAAGGGTGGGATGAGCTTGGAAGCGGATGCGCTTGATGGTCCCACCCCAAACTCCTCTGTGATGCTGGGATCATTCTATGACCCCCCCCCTCCCGAGGGGCCCAGGGCTGCTCCCCCCCCATGCAGAGCCCCACTCAACCACAGGAATCAGGAAGAAGAATCCTTAAAAAAGAATCCAAACATTTATTGTTTTCCTTCGGGATCTGATGCATCCCAGCCCTGGGGCTGGGGGGGGGCCCAGCCTGGCACAGCACCAGCCCATAGGGCTGATGTGGTCCAACACCCCCCCCCCCCCCTTGCAATGGGGAGACCCTGCAATACGGGGGTCCCAATGCAATGGGGACCTGCCCTGGGCCGGCCGCACACCCATCCCCATCCCTATCCTCATCCTCATCCCACCCATCCTTGCACAGGGAAGGGGCTGGGCCAAACCCAGCCCTGAACCTGTGAGCGTGATAGGATGAGAGGGGAGAAAAGGGGGTTTTGGGGGGGATAAAAAGGGGTTTTGGGGGGGTGGAATGGGGTTTGAAGGGAATAAAGGCCCTTAAAACCCACCCAGGTTTGGAGGCCTCTGCAGGCACTGCCCTGGGAGGGAGTTCTCTAAAAATAGGAATTTTCATATATTTTATTTAAAAAATAAAAACACACGAAAAGGAACAAAAACCCAAAATTAATAAAAATGAGAGGAAAAAAAATAAAAACCAGGGTGGGTGGGGGTGGGGTGG